TTAAACAAATAAAAATAAGTAAACCTAATTACCCCCCCACAAAAATTAGACCAAAAATAAAAGGCCAAGAGGAAACTTTAAAAAGTACTTGTTTTCTTCCAGTTAATTGTTTTTCATTGTAGTATAGTTGATTTACAACATTCTGTTAGTTTCATGTGTACAGCATAGTGATTCAGTATTTTTACAGATTATTACTGGGGAAAGGGGGTGGGAAGGGATACATTTGGGAGTTTGAGTTTGCCAATGTTAGACATTATATGTAAAAATAGATTTTTAAAAAAGTTTCTTCTGTACAGCACAGGGAACTATATTCAATGTCTTGTAATAACCTCTAATGAAAAACGATATGAAAACGAATATATGTATGTATATGCATGACTGGGACATTGTCCTGTGCACAGAAACTGACATATTGCAACTGACTGTACTTCAATTTTAAAAAACTTAAAAAATAACTTCAAAAAAAAGGTTATTACAAGATAACGGCTGTAATTCCAAAAGTACTTCTTTAGGATAAGGTGACAGTACTGCCATCTCGCTGTCTTTTCATAGTCTGGTGAGTAGCATATTTTAAGATCTCTAGATATTTTCCTGAGTCACTGAATTTTAACTCATCTTCACAGAGAAACACGTTCCAGGTGGTTCTGGCCTCGTCTGAGTCCAGCTCCTACGCCATCTTCCTTTATCCTGAAGATGGTCTGCAGTTCCATACGACCTTCTCCAAGAAGGATGAGAACCAGGTTCCCGCGGTGGTCGCCTTCAGCCAAGGTTTAGTGGGATTGATATGGAAGACGGATGGAGCTTATAATATATTTGCTAACGACAGAGAATCAATTGGAAACTTGGCCAAGTATGCTTCTTTTTTGCTCTTCAGTAGATTCTCCCCATAATGAGACAATCATGTTACTATTTAATTAAGGATAACGTAATGAATATCATGTAACATTACCTAAAAATGTTCCCATGGATTTAAATTTTGTATATATATATATATATATATATATATATATATATATATATATATAAAGTTTTTATATTACACAGTCCTTTTTCCCTCATGACCTCAGGGGAACGTATTCTTAGAATGAACAGGTGTCCTGTTTTTTAGATCTCCTTCTCATTTGAAATTGCTTTGCCGTCCCTTCCACAAGTATAAAGTTAGAAACACAAGTTCTTCAGAACTATCTCCTGCGATGAACCCCAGGCTGAGAAAAAACCCTTTTCCCCTGCAGTGACTAGGGGGGGATGTTCTTATGATAGAAATGGTGCTCTCTTGGGTTGTTTTGTAGAATTTGGCAAAAGAGGGGAAAGCTCAGACTGTGTTTTTAAAGTTAAGTTCCTTTTTCTCCCATTATCTGAAAAAAAAAAAGAATCACCTCCCCGCCCAATTGCATATGGTCGGTTGAGCCTAGAACTCCTCTGCCCTTTAATGGTGTGCTGGATCATGCTTAATGACTGGCTTTACAGGGCTGGGGGGAGACCTCGTTTACAGCATTTGCCTGTTCCCGCGGCGTCAATACTCCCCCCATGGCCAGTTTGCAGCTACTCACATCATGTCGTTTACCCTGGGGTTGACAAGAGGTGAACCATTACGTAGCGTTCTCACCCGAGAGGGGCAACAGATTCAAATAACGTCAAGAACATAGCTAAGAGTAACGTAATTCGGATATGATGAGCTTCAAGTCTTTATTGCCTCCGCTTTTAATTATCGTTTATTTAATTGCAAGTTTATATAATTTAATTTTCTGAAAGCTGGTGCAAGCAAGCTCTTGCATGCTGCTGCCTTTGAGTCCCAGGCACACAGATTGCTTAGATATCCAATTCCTGCAGGACTTTCCTGATTCCTTGTCCTCTATCCCACCCCAGTCTTCTTTTTATGTTAATTTTTAATTTTCATTATTTTATTTACTTGTTTGTGTGTGTGGGGGTAACTAGGTTTATTTATTTATTATTATTTTTTTAATGGAGGGACTGGGGATTGAACCCAGAACCTTGTGCATGCTAAGCACATGCTCTACCACTGAGCTCTACCCTCCCTCCATCCCAACCTTTTGCTTAGTGTCCCCCACTGAGTAATGTGTGTCCCTTCTTTCCATGGTATAAGCTGGTCATTTTGCATAATTTGTGATAGGAATACTTCAATCACACACGTAGAAAAGCAGGAATGATGGTGCAGGAAGTAGAGATGAGGGTCATTCTTCTGCATTTTGGAACTATAAAATGCCCTTAGAGTCCAAATACCATTTGTCTCACTACACCCTGTGGGCATAAAAAGGCAAACTGAGACCTGTTCCAGGGCCCACGGCTAACAGTTGGGATTGCTAATAAACCAAGTCTGGACTGTCTTCACGCGTAACACTTCTGACACCGAATATGCGTGTGTTTTTTTCCCTCACCAACCAATTTGCCAACTCTTCTGACACCAACTGGGTGTCCTGCAATTTAATTCAGTTCTGATTCTAACCGCCTGGAGTCAGCGCAGATCCCATCGCTGAAGGGCTCAGTCCCACAAGATGGCACCGGATTCAGAGCCCAGTCGCAAGTCCCAGGTTGTCACCTGAGCTTTTGATCAACCAGCTCTAAATCAGGGGTCTCCATGACCCCCTGCGCAGGTTTGATAATTTTCTAGACTGGCTCACAGAACTCAGGAATGCACCTTACTGACTATGGCCAGTTTATTAAAAAGGACACAACTCAGGAACAGCCAAATAGAAGACATGCAGGGGGCCGGGTTTGGGAGGAAGAGTAGGTGACGTGCTTCCGTGCCCTCTCTAGACGCACCACCCTCCTGGCACCTCCATGTGTTCACCTGACTCAAAGCTCTGTCGGCCTCATGCTTCAGGAATTTTCATTATGTAGGCACGATTGATCAAATCCTTGGCCGTTGGTGATATGTAATCTCCAACCCTCTGCCCTCCCTGGAAGTCAGGGTGTGGGGCTGAAAATTCCAACCTCCTGGTGACCAGCACCCATCCTGAAGTTGTCCAGGGTCCCCTGCCCCCAGCCATCCCATTAGCATACACAAAGACACTCTCATCACTCCAGAGACAACAAGGATTCTAGGAATTTCATTCCAGAACCAGACCAACACTAAAGCCATATTTCTTTTTTTAAAATATATTTTTATTGAACCGTATTTCTCATTGTATCACACATGGTGCCATGGAAAGAGAATGATGGAGAAGACAGATGTCTTCAGTCAACAGGGTGCTCATGTGGTAAAACTCATGACCAGCAATTAGTATAAATCGTATTTTAAGGCCTGAAAATGTCCCTGACGTGTGCCTCTCAAATGACCACCAAGAATAAGCCTTTGCTAGGGTTGTGCACCGCTGCATACAGCCTCACCGAGTAGCCCTGGGAGGTGGCAGCCCCGCGACGACCAGACGTGACCGCGCCTGCTCTTCCAGCGCCCGCCGTGGCCGTGGGCGGAAGCGGGCGATGGGGTTCAGGTCGACGCACATGCCCGGGGCTCCTGCTTGGTTGGCGGGGGCTGCCTGTGGGTTGCTGGCCTGCTTCCAAGAAGCCTGTCCTTCCTCCTAGGAGCAGCAACTCCGGGCGGCAGGGCATCTGGGTGTTTGAGATTGGGAGCCCGGCCACCGCCAGCGGCGTGGTGCCCTCGGACGTGAACCTTGAAGTGGACGACGGCGCAGAGTATGACGATGAAGATTATGACTCGGTGACACGTCTGGGCCTGGAGGACGTGGGCACCACATCCTTCCCCTTTGAGGCTCCAAGAAGGGGAGACGCTGGCACGCACAATGTGCCCAGCGTCCTCTCCCCGCGCCGCCTGAGCACTGAGAGACCCCTGGGACCCCCCACGGAGAGGACCAGGTCTTTCCAGCTGCCGGTGGAGAGCTTTCCCCAGCAGCAGCCGCAGGTCATAGACGTGGACGAAGTTGAGGAAACAGGAGTTGGTAAGGCCGTTTAAGTTGCAGTTGATGCGTTCTTGGACGCTTGGGTTTCCAGAAAGGGGAGCATTGCTGGAGGGTGTCAGCTGTGTGTTACACGGCGGTCTGTGAGGCTGAGAGCCTGGGGCCCGAGGGGCCAGGCCCACAGCTGCAGAGCATGGGTTTCAAAGACTCCAAGGGATCTTCTGAGATTGGGGCTGGGGTCATGGAGACTGGGGAGCGTGGCCTCTTTCAAGTCGCCTGTTCTTTTTTTTGGTTTTTTTGACTGTTGTTCTGTTGTAAAGAGAAAAGTGTTCAAGAATTATTTTGAGAGTCAGCTTTTCTTATTTGTGGCTTCTGAGATCAGAAATATATTCACCCACCTGAAAAAACATTTTAGAAGTTCCTTTGGCTCTGTGCACGGTTTATCTTTGACATGTATTTCCTCTCGGTTTTGGAAGGAGGATGGTTGATTATCTTTCCTCCTGGGTCCTGTCAGTTTCAGAATTGGTCTGTGAAAATTTTAAAAATACAAAATAAGTAGATCCTCTGTTCAAAGATGGTTTTAAAGTATAATATCTTCTAGTCGACTGTGTTCTATCAGATTTTTGCCACATTGGGGAAAACCACTTGAACCCTGGCAGACTTTGATTTGTTTTATAAAAGACATTCAAACTACACTGTGTTTATTATTTTCAGCTCATGAGGTTGACCTATAATCCGTTAAGATTCCTATAAATGGGATGGTCCAAGCCTTTAAATGATGTTTACCGAGTTGCAACGGCTTCTACCGTGAAGTTACCTGAAGACCCTCAGAAAAATCACCTCTATTCCACATTATTGACTCATTTTTATTTCTTCTTACCTGCTGCGATTTGTCTCATCGCAGTAGTCACAAATGTTTCTTCTTCTTGAATAACCCAAAGCCTGGACCAGATCTGGCGGCCACGGGTCACGTGTTTACTGACTTCAGAGGCACAGAAGTGGAGAGGTTGCCCTTGAGTGGCGTGATGAGGACATGGGTTTGTGTCTTGGAGCTCCCCTCACATGCATGGCGCCCTGGATTTCCCGGGGCGATGCTGACACTTCCTGGTCCATGCTGCCCTTCTCTTACAGCTGGGTCTCAGAGTGATCGCCCCAGCATGACTTGGGTGTGTTTCCTGGCAAACGATGGAGTTTTGAGTCTCAGCCTGCTCCCACCCTACCTAGGTATCTCTGAAATTCGCATTTGTGAAGCCATCACTCAGGGATCACAAGCATCCCTGACAGCTTATGGTCGTGTCTTGGTTCGAGTAAGAATAAAAGCCTAGATTTTAGACCAAAGGGGTCTAAATCAGCTGTTTTTCTGCCTTCTGCCCCAGTTATTTCACTGTTTTTCTTAGAAAGGTCCATCACCTGTAGCCAGCAGTGCACTCCTGGTGCCGTCTGAATGGTCACACACGGATACGTAGGCCATCACAGACCCCCCGGGAGCTGGACTTAAGCAACCACTAGCGTCACGTGCGTTCAGCTTAGGGCCCGAGGGTTCTCAGCTCCAAACGCCACCTTCATACACACAGGAAGTTCCCTCCTGGGGATGGAGGACACATGGAGTCTACCTGGGGTTAAACAATACTTTTATCTTCACTCATAGCAGCCAGTTGTACGCTGGGTCGCTAGCCCCTCTAAAAGTCCACCCCCTCTTGTGCGTTTGAACTTCATTCCCGGCTAATTTGCTCTTGGATTTTAAGTTTAATGAGCAAGTTCATAATTCCAATCAAATGAACCCGGGAGGGAGAAATTTGAAATAGGGAGAAGTTCTTTTTGAGTCTTGAGTCAAAGGCTTTCAAACTGGGTATGACTGAGGAATTACGCCTCATCCGCTTCGGAGTCTAAGAGCCTCTGATGTACCCCCTGCTGGGAAGAAGGGGGCAAAAAAGGTTCTAAAATACTTGAAACTTGTTAAAATGGCATATTGTATGTTATATATAGTTAACCATAATAAAAAATCAGTTTAAAAATATTTTAAGGATCCCCTCCAAAATATGAAGCCGACCTTCCCCACTGCATTGGATGGATGTCGTATTACGAGTGATAATGGCAGGGGGAGGGGACAGCTCAGTGGTGGAGCGCGTGCTTAGCATGCAGTTGGTCCTGGGTTCGATCCTCAGTCCCTCCATTAAAAAAATTAAGAAATAAATAAAAATTAAAAACATTTTAAACAAACAAACAAAATGATTGATATTGGATGGCAGGAACCCCATAGTGATTCAGTGATACTGAGCACTTTGGATGATGGCAGCTTTTGATAATTTGCCCCTGCGATTTTGCAAACTCCGTTTAGACCCACCTGCCTTGGTGGTTTGAGTGATGGAGCCACCACACTGTGTCGGGGGTTACAGGCAGACAGTCCTGTGCTGGAGTTGCCGGAGCAGAGGTCGAGCCCTGCAGGGCTGAGGGTGCGTGCGCAGTGTCGTGCAGCCTCGTGGTCCAGGGCCCTGGGAGGCGCTGACGGGTGTGCTGTGTTCTCTCTGAGCAGTTTTCAGCTACAACACGGATTCCCGCCAGACGTGCGCCAACAACAGACACCAGTGCTCGGTGCACGCCGAGTGCAGGGACTTCGCCACCGGCTTCTGCTGCAGCTGCGTGGCCGGCTACACGGGGAACGGCCGGCAGTGTGTTGCAGAAGGTACTTTGCTTTTGTGTGTTCCGTGGGCGGCGGGGGGAGACGGGGGGGGTGGAGTTTCTGTTTTGGCGCTTGTTCTGACATCTTGCCTTTACCCAGATCTCTAAGGGTGGGTGGTGATTGTAGTCCGCACAGTGTTTCATCTCTCACTGCCCACTCTTGCCTGTCCGTCTCTGATGAGTGTTCCTTGGGGAGTGCCTGTTTCTCCCAACCAGATGAGGTCTCTTTCTTTCCTGGGCTATTTCCCCATCTCGGAGATGACTGCCGCTGGGAGCCCATCTTCACAGCTGCCCCTAGCGCGGAACAAAGGCTGAAGTGTTGAAATCGTGCAGCCTGGACCACGAATTATCAATGCCCTCATTTCTCTCCATTTCTGTCAAACCTCCTGTTTTGGCGTTGTGCACAGACCGGGCCCTCCTAACGGTCGCTCAACTCCAGCAGGTCCACAGTGGGCTGGCGTCGACCAAAGTAATATCGGGTCAGGTCTATTTCAGCCCCCCGCCCCCTCAGTTTTCCCGTACTTGTGCCCCTGAAGTCACAGCATGGTGACGGCGGGGCGTCAGGGGCGCACGCCAGCTAATTCGGGACCCCAAGCCCACTGTGGGGCCAACTCCAAAATGGATCCAGCTGTGGGCCAACGTCAGTTCCGAGCTCTGCCTGCAAAAGGGCCCCATTCTTGACGCTCTCAGGTGGTCAGAAGAGGCTTCTCTGCAGAGATCTAGGTGCCCAGATAACAGGTCGCTCAGAGAGGGAGACCTAGTGGGGTCTGAAGCCAGGAAGTAGAATTCAAACAAAACCACAGCCCAGCCACACTGAACATCTGTCCCTCAGATGCCACGTCACCGCACTTGTCACCCGTCACTTTCCCGGTGTGTTCAGTGAGGAGCCTCGATTGCTTTGTGAAACTTGACTGTGTAACACTCGGTTGGGGAATATTTTTCTGGTTCTCAGATCCCCTGCTCATAGCTGTTCTTACGTCAGTTATCTTGATTTGCCACCAAAAAAAGTTTCCTTCTGGGTCACAATTAGGGAGTTTCATTAACTGCTATCCTCAGCAACGAAAGAAAACGTAGTACACTTCGCGCGTTAATTAGGGGGCGTGGTTTTTTATTGTCTATAAAATGTGTTTTCTGTTTTCTTCCAAAGCCCACCGCCCCGGGGATGGTGTGCCTTGGCTGCTTCGTTTGGGCTTGGCTGTTGTAACTCCTTCACCCTGGGGGAATCCTCCAAAATCTGCAGTGAACCGTTGCTCAAAGAGCAATCTCGTTAGCTCTCTCCGTGCCAAGTGTCAGAGCTGGGAATGCTGACCCACTGCGTTTGGCAGCAAGCGTAGATAGGACGGATTCCTTGGCTACATGTTTTGACATTACATACCCGCCCCGAAATAGTTCTGTGGTTTAAATATTTGTTGGATTCTTGCTACTTCTGAAACATGTTTTGAGCTCAGAGTCTGGTGGAGAAAAATTTGTTTGGTTTCCTTCGCTTGGCTCTCCTGCTCGTTTCTGTTGTAGTTTGGGGGAGGCGTTTTTTCAGTATTGGTCTTCTAATGGACAGCGTTCCCCAGCGTGATGAGACCGTTTCTGTGCAGAAGCACGCTGCGGGCCGAGTGCCTTGCCGTGTCAGTGACCCCGTGTAGCGCCTGGCAGAGGGTCTTCAGAACGCGGGTGATGGCGCCCAGGTGGGAGCGCGTTCGGTCTCCGGTTACTCCACACACCGTCCCGAGGACTTGCTGTGGACGGAAAGCTCTGCTGAGATGGAGCCAGGGAGTCTGGGGTGGAAGTCCTGTCTCTAGTCATTTACAATCTGGGAAGAGAAACCTGATAAGTACAGTCAGTAACTGGCAGAATTTAATTCTGTATCAAACCGAAACAGTCCAAGGTGGGTTTTTTTCCCCAAAAGATGTAAGAACAAGGAGGAGAGGGTACAGCTCAGTGGTAGAGTATGTGCTTAGCACGCATGAGGTCCTGGGTTCAATCCCTAGGATTGCCATTAAATAAATCACCTAAATATCTCCTCCCTCCAAAGAAAGAAAAAAAGATGTAGCACACTCATTTAAAGTACACCATTCAGTGCTTCTCAGTATATTCACTAAGTTGTGCAGCTGTCACCTTTCATTTTAGAGCGTTTGCATCACTCCCGAAAGAAACTCTGGGTCCGTTAGTAGTTACCCTCAATTCATCCTCATCCCCCAGCCTCTGTCAACAACTAATGTATTTTCTGTCAAATTTTTTTTCTGTTCTTGAAATTTTATATACATAGAATCATACAATATGTGACTTTTGTGTTTGGCTTCTTTCACTCAGCACCCATGTTTTCAAGGTCCATCATATTTTAACATGTATCAGTACCTCATTCCTTTTTTCTAGCTGAATAATACTCCGTTGCATGGATATACCACATCTTGTTTATCCATTCATCAATTGCCGTACATTTAGGTGGCTTCCCATTTTGGCTCATATGAATAATGCTCCTAAGAACATTTGTGTACAAGTTTTTGTGTGGACATATGTTTTCTGTTCTCTTGGGTAAACACCTAGGAGTTAGGATTGCTGAGTCCTATAGTAACCTTCAGTTTTCTTATTCGAATACAAGAACAGCTTCATTTCTTGAGATCTCATCATTTCCCGATTAAACAATAATACATACATGCAAGTTATAAATATTTGAACAGGATGGAGATACACAGTATAGAAGATGAAAGTTCGCCATGTCACCCCGAGCTGACCACTGCTAGCAGTTTTGTGCACATCTCTGCAGATAGTCTCCCTGAAGTGTATGCTAACATTTATCATTAATCTAACTTTCAAAAATGGTGTCCTACGTATACTCTTTGGCAGTTATGAAGACAGCTTTTAAACATGCCGTAGTGAGTGGCACATCTTTCCCAGTCGTCCAGATGGAACAGTGACCCACAAACGCCCCGGTCCACAAGCCGGTGCTGCATCAGAGGGCGTTATTTGCGTGGCTTGCAGTATGGCCACGTCTATCTGGCTGGGGCTGAATGAATCTCCAGGACTCAGACTGGCCGCCCTAACCCTAGGTAGTAGGACAACACTGAGCCAGAGATGCTCAGTTAATAAACGTCCCATCCCGTGTAGCCCTGCTGTCCTAGTGAAAGGACTAATACTCTCACAGTGATCAGTTACATGTCACCTCATCCGAGATCCCCTGTGACGCTTTCCTTCTCCTAAGATTGTCTTATTTGCCTCTGAAGTTCCTCCACCACACAGTGGCTCCTGCTTTCTCTCTGACCACATGTTATCACTCAGTGTGGGAGGGGGGCACGATGCTGGAATTTCTGAGGCTCACAGACGCGCTGACTGGAATTGCCTTCTTGGGGAGTAGAGCTGCATTCCCTTGTCCCCAAGCCCTTTACCCCAGCGCTGTGTGGCACAGATGCTTCCAGACATACGATCCTGTTTTGAAGGGCTGACTTCGTTCTGTGTCTCTTACTCAGGTTCCCCACAGCGAGTTAACGGCAAGGTGAAAGGGAAGGTCTTTGTGGGGAGCAGCCCGGTTCCCATTGTCTTTGACAACACCGACCTCCACTCCTACGTGGTGATGAACCACGGGCGCTCCTACACGGCCATCAGCACCATTCCCGAGACCGTCGGGTACTCTCTGCTTCCTCTGGCCCCCATTGGAGGCATCATTGGATGGATGTTCGCAGTGGAGCAAGGTGGATTCAAGAATGGGTTCAGCATCACAGGTGACTGACGTCGGACCTGGAAATGACTGGGCCACAGAGTGGGGCTGGGCGGGGTGGCTGGGTGAGTGGGAAGGGAGCTCTGTGTCTGCAGACCACTTACTGATACGCATTTTGTGGCTCTGGAGATAAGGGGTGGGGTAAACATATCAAGAAGTTCCCCATGAATATACACGAAGGCTGTCTAGAACTGCGCTTTGACCAGGGAGTGATTTGGTGGTGGAGAGTCAGAAGTCTCCGGCACAGCAAGTGCTGTTGTCTCCTGTATCTTTACAACCCAGAGTGTGGGTGGGGCTCACTCTGTTTATCCAGCCTGCCTCCAGTTCCAAAACAACCTGAGATGGATATTTGACATGTCCTCCGTATCTGCTTGGAAAAGGGAACCTGTCATTTAGAGCTGGTAAATTCAGCCTGATACACATAACCCTCATGAGTCTTAAGAAACCTGAGTTTCCTTGGGGCTTCAGGGGAAGTTCAGTCTTCAGGCAGACCTTAGCTGCACAGCTTTTCATGTATTAGTGTTGCTTTGTACGTGGGTTGATTTAAATTTATGGTACTTTGAAACTTGTAACTTGCATCAACTTCAGGGAGGCTGAGGGAGCCTTGACAAATTCCCTACCACAGCACATCTCTGTGACTGCAGTGGTTCTTCTCAGTTGCTTCAGGACCTGTGTCCTCAGCTGGACATCTGCCTGGGACTTGGGGGCTCTGAGCAGGCGCTGTCAGGCTTTTCCTGCAGAGGGCCAGACAGTAAATATTTCAAGCTTTGCCTAAGTATGTTAGGCTGTTCGGTGTCTCTTGCTTGCATCTCTTCAACTCTGTCATTGTAGAGCAAAAGCAACCGCAGATAATACGCAAGTGAATGAGCATGGCTGCATGCCAATGAAATCATTCATGGGCCCTGAAATGTACATTTCATATGCTTTTTGCATATCATGAAATAGTATTCTTCTGACTTAAAAAAAAACTTTAAAATGTAAAGACCATTCTTAGCTCAAGGCCAGCCAGCCCTGCTATCGGAGGGGTCTGCAAACGTGGAAAAGGGAGGAAGCTGGTAGAGAGGGAGCATTTTTCCTGTTTGTCTGGGGCTGCTGCCCTGCACAGACCAAGGGGAGGTCCTGAGGCAACACCATCGTAAGCGCTCCTACGATGGTTCCTGGGCCTGGTGATGGGTTTGCCCTGAAGAGCTCACCCATCCTGACCAGGACTTAGCTGTTAACAACAGTCACCGCATAGCTGATGTCTTGGAGCCCTTAACATAGAGCAGAGGACTTTTTGTCGTTGCTGTTACAAAAGCCTTCTTCTTTAATTGAAGTGTAGTTGATTTACAATGTGTGTTAGTTTCTGCTGTACAGCATGGTGATTCATTTATACGTATATATATTCATTTTCATATTCTTTTTCATTATAGGCTATTACAAGGTACTGAATATAGTTCCCTGTGCTGTACAGCAGGACCTTGTTGTTTGTCTATTTTGTGTACAGTAGTTTGTATCTGCTCATCCCAAACTCCTAATTTACCCCTCCCTATCCCCTTTCCCCACTGGTAACCATAAATTTGTTTTCTATGTCTCTTTCTGTTTTGTAAATAAGCTCATTTGTACCATTTTTTTTAGGGGGAGAGGGTATAGCTCATAGCTCAGTGGTAAGAGTACATGCCTAACATGCACAAGGTCCTGATTCAATCCTCAGTCCCTCTGTTAAATAAATAAATCTAATTATCTGCCCCCCAAAAAAACAAAAAAAAAGAATTGTATTTTTTTTTAGATTCCACATATAAGTGATATCATATGGTATTTTTCTTTCTCTGTCTGATTTACTTTACTTAGTACCATAACCTTTAGGTCCATCCTTGTTGCTGCAAATGGCATTACTTTATTCTTTTTTATGGCTGAGTAGTATTCCATTGTATATACATACCATATCTTTATCCAGTCATCTCTTGATGAACACTTAGGTTGCTTCCATGTCTTGGCTGTTGTGAATAGTGCCGGCCCCCACTTTTTAACATACTTCAGCTCATCCAATTTCACTAGATAGATTGTATCCCTTTTTCATCAGCAGGAAATGGAGGCTCAGTGTAACTTGTTCAAGTTCCCCCAACCAGTACCTACCACAGTTGAGGGGTCAATCCCCCATCCTTTGCTTTTCCCAGCCCGTCTCAGATGCTAGCCTGTGGCTGAGAAGCAGCTTCTGTTTTCTGTGTATGACTCAGTTGAGCCTTGTGGGTGTCCCAGCTCTGTCCTTGGCATCACCAGCCCTAATTCTACCAACCAAACTAAAGCATCTGCAAAGGGGGTGCGAGCCTGCCCCATTGGGCGCTAAGGGTGGGCGTGAGGGAAGCTTCTTTGATGGCAAAGTGACAGACTGACCTTGCTTTCCAGGGGGCGAGTTCACCCGCCTGGCCGAGGTGACCTTTGTGGGGCACCCGGACAAGCTGGTCATTAAGCAGCAGTTCAGCGGCATTGATGAGCACGGACACCTGACCATCGACACGGAGCTGGAGGGCCGTGTGCCGCTGATCCCCTTTGGCTCCTCGGTGCACATCGAGCCCTACACGGAGCTGTACCACTACTCCCGCCAGGGTGAGCCCAGCCCCGCCACTGCACCCCTGTTCACGGCCAGCGCCGTGCACGCGCTCCCTCCCCTGGGTGCACGTGCTCCGCAGTCTTCTGGCCTTTGGAGAGGGAAGTGCCAGGGGCATTACCATCACCTTTCTCTGATTGTAGGCATTGAGCACACTCATTGGAGAGGACTTAGTACAGACAAAAATAAGCATAACTTACAGAAATAAAACCAGGACACAATTATTGTTGAATTAAATGTATTTCCTTTCAGTCTTTTCCTTGCATATTTTTTTTTGAGAGTAAGTTGTAGGCACCATGATCCTTCATCCCCTAGATATTTCATGTGTTTTTCCTAAGAACAAGAACATTGTCTTACGTGGCCCCAGCACAGTCATTAAAATCAGGAAATTTAACATTGATTCAGTACTGCTGTATACTCTGCAGTCAGGTATATAGTTTTTATTTAAATAAAATTGCAGTCATACCACATTATCACATCTTTGCTTTTCCAGTTAGCGTCAAAGCATTAATACTTTATAGTTAAATAGGCTTTGGAAACATTTTGTAATGAGTCCATATGATTCTCTTGCATGGCTATTAATTTAAACCACTCTTTTGTCTAAACCTTAGGTTATTTCCAATTTTTTCCTTCTCAAAAGGAGATGAAATGATCATCTTCATCATAAATCTTAACCAAATTGCTGATTCTTTCCTGACCAAGTTCCTAGAAATAGAAATGTTGAGTCAAACACTAGAAACTCTTGAGAGGCTCATATTAAATCTCCATCCAGGAAGGTCGCCCCAGCTGCCGTGCCTCTGGGCTTGCTCGGCTCTCCTAGGGGAGGAGGTGGCTGCGGAGGAGGTGGGGTGAGCGCAGGGCCGTGGTCTGCAGCCGGGCTGCACCCAGAGGGCGCTTGTGGCCGCCCCGCACGGGAGAGCGGGGCGGAGGCAGCTGACGCTAGTCTTTCATTTCTCCTCTGGCTTTTATCGCCAACTACAACAGAGCACTCTGACATATAGATTTTTTTTCCTTTGAATAGGAAGTTGAGATTTTCACTGAATGGGTGAAAAGCGGGCTGTCTTCTGAATGGGGAAGACTGCTTCGCTTCTCTATTGAGACTTGCTCCAACTCCTTAGTAATTTATAGAGACCCATTAACGTCTCATTTTCTGTATCTCAGAGAACCGCTTGATCTAGGGTCTTTGTCGCAGCCACCGTTTACTGAATCCGAAGTGAGAGAACCCAGCTAAAGCAGTTAGCTCTCTGCTAGTCACGTGGTGGGGGCTTTATAAAGGGTAGTTTGTCTCAGTAAGGTTATATGGAGCCCAGAACTTTTACACACATGATCTCATCCTCACACCCCTCCCCTGTTGTAAAAGAAGCAGGGCGAAGAAGTTAGTAACTGGCCTGTGATCACACACTCGTGAGTGAAGGTGCGAGGTGTGAGTTCAGGTGTGTCTCCCTCCAATCCTGTGCTCTTCCCACCAGGTCTGAATCTCTGGGTTGGTTCTGCGTGACTTAGACACTTCCAGAGAAGCACTTGATGACAAAAAGCAGTAAATGGCTCCCACGGTAGCATGGGAACTCTGGGTAACAGGATGACCCCCAAACTGAGATAAACGGTCTTATTTATCCTGTTCCGCCCAAACTCTCATCTGCTAGCGTTATGGGCAGAGAGGACTGCTGGTGGTTTTAAAGCCTGTGAGGAAGACTTCTGCATCCTCAGGACCTCTCCTTTGTCTCCCCGCCTCGTCTCCCTCCTCCCCTCCCGCTCCCAGTGATCACCTCCTCCTCCACCCGGGAGTACACGGTGACGGAGCCCGAGCGGGACGGCGCCGCCCCTTCGCACGTCCACACCTACCAGTGGCGCCAGACCATCACCTTCCAGGAGTGCGTCCATGACGACTCCCGGCCGGCCCTGCCCAGCACCCAGCAGCTCTCGGTGGACAGCGTGTTCGTCCTGTACAACCAGGAGGAGCAGATCCTGCGCTACGCTCTGAGCAACTCCATCGGTCCTGTGCGGGGTGAGAGACGGCCGCTGGGCGGGGAGTCCTGAGCCTGCCGCACGTCTCTCTCTGTGCTTTGTGACATGTTGTTTCTCGTCTCTAACTCTCAGTAAGAAGAGGAAAACTGTACTAAAATAGCTCCCATCTTGCTAAATGTCTCGTCATCTGCGATTCTTACCTACCCATCTCTGATCTGCTAACCTAAGGCACCTTCACTGCCCTCTCTGGGGTTGAGGAGAATGCTAACCTGTTGGCTTACCTTGCAGAGCAGCCCATTCAAGGGCTGCAGCTGCCTGTGGCCGGGCATTTAAAACACGGACACTAACTGTGAGAGAAATGTGTGCTCAGGGCCTGGGAAACCCCAATAAAATCTGGTAAAACTCAGGTTCGGAGCCTACAGCAAGCTCTCTGCTGGGGATGGCACATTGCGGGAGCTGAGGTCTGGTCTGGGGGCTGCATGGAAGGAGCTGGCACTGGGGACCTCGTGGGACATCTCGGAGTCAGATTCCACACTGTCCGCATCTTTAAGCCCCCTGTTCTGTGTATTTGGGCGTGGGCATTAAGGTCTTTCTCTCTCAGTTCTTTTTGGTTCTCCCTCTGCCCAGGTCACTTCTCCAGCTGATCAGATTTGTCCGTAGCTCCCGAAAGCAGAAGTGGGGGCAGGTGTCCCTACCCCTCCCTTGACAGCTGTAGCTCCAGGCATCAGGGATGGGCGTATTTTTTTCTTAAAAAGCCAGATAGTAAGTATTTTCAGACGTGGCCAGCCACACAGTCTCTGCCACGGGAGCTCACTTCTGTGACGGCAGCACAAACGTAGCCATAGACTGTGTGCATGTGAGTGGGTGTGGCTGCTTTCCAATAAAACTTTACTTACAAACACAGGCATGAGTCTGAATTTTGCTGATCCTGCCCCGGGTGACGCAGGAGTCGGCAGGTTTCCCATTCCAGGACCCTCTGCTGCGCTCCTGGTCATCAGTCCTGCCCTACTTTCTGTGGGAGGGGGAGACCGGTCAGTTGCTGAGTACTCATTCGGCTTCGATGTCTCTGCTTCACAGATGGCTCCCCTGATGCCCTTCAGAATCCTTGCTACATCGGCACACACGGGTGTGACACCAACGCAGCCTGTCGCCCCGGCCCCGGGACACAGTTCACCTGCGAGTGTTCCATTGGCTTCCGGGGAGACGGACGCATCTGCTACGGTACAGCCGTCAATTCCGATTTGGGGGTGGGGGTGGTTCGGGGACAGATTCGGGAAACCAGAGAGCTGGGTGAGGCGAGGAACCACGGGCGAGTTAAGCACTGACAGGTTCACCACGCCGGAGTTGTTTCAGCCCCACACTTGCTGTTCCCCCCGTGATGTTAGGGACACTGCCTCTTCCTGCAGATTGTCAAATGCCCGGACTCTAGGCAGCAGAGTAGAATTTATAAGGCCACACTCCACTCCACCTTGAGAATGCAAAGGTTTAAAGAGAAGAGAAAGTCCACGATGAGTGAGAAACACAATGAGTGAAAAACTCTTGACTGTAAAATCCCCAGGCGTTGTTTGTGTTCAGTGCTTCCCAGACACCATCTCATTTAATCCAACAACCCTAATGAGATAGATTCTTTCGTTTCTGTCTTTTAAAAATTATTTGATATGTATTTACAAATAAATAATTTAATTGTAATTTAATGTACACACAATATAAAATTGATCACTCTCACCATTTTTACGGGTACAGTTTGGCAACATTAAATACATTCACATCGTTGTGCGACCATCACCGCCACCCATCTTCAGAACCCTTTTTCATCTGCAGAAGTGAAATTTGGTTCCCATTAAATAACGCCGTCCCATGCCCTCAGCGCCTGGCAACCACCGTTCTACTTCCTATGAACTTGATGACACGAGAGACCTCATATAGATGGAATCATGCAGCATCTGTCCTTTTGTGACGGCTTCTTTCCCTTAGCATAATGTCCCCAAGGTTCACCCATGTTGTAGCATGTATCAGGATTTCCTTCGTTTTTAAGGCTTTAATATTTGAGGAATATTCCATGGTGTACACGTGTGACATTTTGTAATCCATTCATTTATCAGTGGACACTGGGGGTGCTTCAGTTCTTTCACTGTTGTGAATAATGCTGCTATGAACGTGGGGGTATGAATATCGGTTTGAGACTCCACTTTCAACTCTTTTGGGATATGCCCAGAAGTGGGATTGCTGGATCACACAAGTCTGTGTTTGATTTTTTTTTTTTTGAGGAACTGTTTTGCACAGCAGCTGCAGCATTTTATGTTCCCACCACCAGTGCACAAGGGCTGCAGCTCCTCCACATCCTTGCCAGCGCTTGTTTTGTGTTTTGATAGCAGCCGACCTAATGGGTGGGAGGTTCATTCTTGTCTTTATAGATGAGAAAACGGAGCCTGGGACATTGGAACGTTGTAACTTGAGTCTCACTTCAGTCTCTGACTCAAGGGCATGGATTACATGTCTTCATTGCACTTAATTTATTACTTGGAATTTGATTCTAAATACTTTCACATAAACAACTTGATACTTATGTTTTTTACCAAGTTTTTAAACAAAATTTTTATTGAAGTTTTGTTGATTTACAATGTCATTTTCTGGTGCACAGCAAAGTGATTCTGTTTGTTACTCAATTTTAATCCACTGCCGAAGGGCAGTTAATTGACTCCTGACTCAAGGAAGAATCCACATAGCAGAGGCACCTGCTGTAAGAATGTCAGATGCTTCACTGAGTGCTACCAAAACCCACAACAGAGGGCTCGCCAACGGGTGTAAGGAATTCTAGAAGCTTCTCTAGTGAAATGGGTGGTGTGCACACGTTATGTTCGGCGGGAACCATGAGCAGCCCCCTTGAGTGACGGGGGCGTGAGGATCTGGTGAGCCCAGCAACCTTGGAATTTGGGAGCGATGCCTTGGGTCTGGAATCCAGTGCCTGCACTTAATGACGGATTGAGTGTGCTGAGTTAACGCGAAGCAGAGCAGATCCTCCTGCATTCGCGTCAGGGTGAGACTGGACGTAAGGTGCTCATTGGAACATCCAGAATAATGCAGAGCAGGGGCTGGCCTTGCAGGAACCCGTTGTGCAGTTGTTCAGCCAGCCTGCTGCTAACTTTGCACACGTGCTGGAATTCGGTCTGAGACTCACCCTCCTTGGAACATACCACCAGGCAGGGGACCAGTTCCTACTCACCTCTGATCATCAGACGTCCCTAGTATTTCCCCAAAGAGCCCGTCAGTCTCGAGTGGCTGCATGCATACTGCGTGCGTGTGAGCAGAGCCCTCCTGGGCCGCGGAGATGGTGCCGGACACCGCACGGGGCTGGGGCTCCCACGCTTCTCCAGCGGAAGCATCCACTGGCTCAGTCTTTCTGGAGCCTCGTTTCAGCTTCGTAAGCCAACTGGACATCAGTCAGACGTGGCACTTCCCCAGCCCGCAGAAACCGAACCTCTCGGGCTGGTCCCACTGCCGGAGCCTGAGCTGGCAGTGGGAGCGCTTGCTTCACTTCCCAAGGCGCAGCCAGCCGAGCTCCGTGCGTGTCATCGTTGCTGTCGTGGAAAACGCTCCGGTGTCCCCGCCCAGGAAGACAGGTGTTGGTGTGCACTTGCTTCTGTCCCAGCATTCGTCCTCGTTCCGGCAGATTTGCACCCTGGAATGTGAGTCTGTTCCCGGTCCGGCTGCTTTTTGTTCTGGGTCACGAGAATCACCCTCGGAGCGCTAATGCATTGAGACACGAGGCTGTTGATAGGAAATTGCATTAAGCAGATCACTTCACATGTTATTTTGACCAGGAAAGTGCCTCAGAAGAGATTGAGGGTGAGCCTTTGTAATGCAGTGTGTGTCGCGTCGATAGAAGGACAGGCGACACCCGAAACAAGGCTGGTGTCGGTTAGACCCTGCAGCGTGACCCGCCAAGGTAATTTGGGGAAGATCTCCGGCTGAATCACAGAACTCTGGTGTCTGGCAGAGTGGCTCCCGTATACTTCTCAGCTGGGAGCAAAAGATGATTTTGGGCCATCTCTCATCGAGTCATTTTGAGAACACACAAGACACTTAACGAATCAGTCGTGAGACTCTTCTCCTGCAAGAGCCTGTAGTTTATGAAAAGGAGAAATTACAGGAAAGAGTTGTGGAAGGTACGTGAAAAGTAGCTGCGCTGAAAAACAGCTCAAAAAGGGAGCGGTCATTGCAAGAAAAACCCACGGCTTTCCTGTTGGGTGAGAGAGTGATTTATTTGTGGAAGGAAATCTCTCCCCAGAGAAGAGGGCAACTGGATATTGAATAATGAGACCAGTGGTCTCCAAGCAGACATTGTGATATTTTACGAGGAACAGTTACCACTAATTCACTGTTTCTACTGAAGACCGGATTAGAGTCCCAGCCTCAGTTTACAGAAGGGAGGGTTTCAACTGGGCATTAGGAAGAATTTCCAAACTGTAAGGATTGGGAGATGTTAGCGGGGAAGTTGCTAGGGTTTTGCTCTAACGAAAAGGTGTGGCTCCGCTTGGATAATCTGTGTAGACCTGCGTGGAGGGAGGGGTGGTCCCGGGGGCCCACCCCCACCCTCATCCCACAGGCCCCCAGATCCTATTTGCACGGCTCCCCAGGTAGGGTGGGCGGCACAGCATCCTCCAATCACCTAAGGAGCTTCCTTGAAACACACAGGTTCCCTCTCCTCAGACCTTCCGGGGGTTAGTGACGCTTGGAGACCCTCCCCTGTGCTTTTGCTCTGTGCTGTTGGGCCTTGGCAGTGGAGGCTAAGCCGTGGAGCCTGCAGCCTGCACAGTGCGTCCAGACATCCATGCCCGGAGTGTCCTGGGAGGGCCGCGGTGCTGGGACAGGGAGGCCGGCATGGTCTTTCTCTCCCACGTCGTTGCAGCAGCAGCTGGTGGATGGAGCTGCAAACACTTGCTGAATCTCCCTCCACCCAAGTCCCAGCTCCGGCTCATTTAGAGGCCGCCTTGGGAGGCGCTTTGTGCCGTGACCTTCCAGCTGTGCCTGGAGCCGCCCTCCTGTCTGAGCTCTGGGGTCTTAAACATGTCACAGAAACATACCAGGCGGGGGTGTTTCAGGAAGCTGAATGCTGTCGGGTTTGGGTTTTTGTCTGAGCATCGGTGAAGCTGCGGGGCTGACGTTCTACGAGTGCTTGTCTTGTGCAAAGTTGCCCAGTAAGCCAGCCCGGCCTTTGGTCTCAGCCATGAAGGGACCGGCTAAGACTGGCCATTGGAGGTGGATACGGCATCGAGGAAGGGGAGTGGAGAGGGGGAGGGGGTTGTGCGGTCTCAGCCATCACGAAATCTTCCTCACACGCATCTCCGAGAGTTCTAGAAAGGCCAGAAGTGACTGTGTATATACACTCGGAGAATGAGGTGGACGCACCAGGACCATGTGTGACTGTATTTATTTCAATCCATCAGTGGACCAAGGTAGTGACAAGGTAGCTCTGTCTCTCATCTGGCCCAACCAGCCTTACTGGAATGGCAGCCGCAGACTGGTGTCCAGTGCCAGTGGCCATCTGAGGGCCATGTTCCTAGACTCAGCCAGGTCCACCCCTGTGGCTGGTGGATTCGGATGAGCCCCTAAGAATGATGATGATAGTTACACTTCTTGAGCTTGCTGGGTGTGCCTCTGGTTTACCTCCATCTTCCGCAGCCCTCAGAAGAAACCCCAAGACAAGTTCTGGCATGCTTGCCTACCAACAGGGAAGCTGAGGCTGGGTAGTCAGGCAGCTTACCTGAGACCACACCCAGGCTGCTGACCAAAGGAGGCGGATGTGGGCCCAGCTCCGTCCAGCTGCAGGCACCCGTCTCTTTGTTGCAGTCACACGATGGCTACAGTGTGGTCATGTGGGAGGGCATCGCTCCCCATCCTACGGGCTTTGGGTTTTCCTTTCAGTGCGTTGAGCTCTGGATAACAATTTGGAAAGTCACAAGTTGACTTTACACTGTCCAACTTTTTTTGTAACTGTCACTGGAGGAAGGGAACGTTTTTGAACAGTAGCATATCTAGCGATGCTCTGTGGTTTAGGAACCTGATTCAGAGTCTGAATACTTGTCTGCATGTCTTTCCATTTGCCCATCTGCTGTCAGTGGGCCCCAGGCTCGGCGACTGCCTCCAGGAGAGGTGGGGGAAGCACAGTTTTACAGAGGAGGGGGGTCTTGGAATCAGTCTCTCAAGTTAGGCACAGAGCTTGTAGTAACCTGTAATGAAAAAGCGCATGAGAAAGAATATGTATGTGTGTATGTATGTGTATAACTTGAGTCACTCTGCTGCACACCAGAAACTAGCACAACATTGTAAATCAACTAGACTTCAATTTTCTTTAAATGGGAAAAAAGGGGGGTAAGTGGGTACAGCTCAGTGGTAGAGCACATGCTTAGCAAGCACAAGGTCCTGGGTTCAATCCCCAGTCCCTCCATTAGAAAAAAGAAAAGAGAAACATTTTTAGAATGGGAAAAGAATTAAGTTATGCACAAAAAAACCCTTATTTAACGCTGCTTTTAGAATATAAAAAAAAATGTGTTTGAAAATGGATTCATCTGCAGGCCAAAATACTTTACATTTTATTGCGTTTTGTGATGTTTGAAGAGGTGTTTTTCTTTGCCTCTTGTACGTAATCTGCCGTAGATATCGATGAGTGTTCGGAACAGCCATCGGTGTGTGGGAGCCACGCGATCTGCAACAACCACCCAGGGACCTTCCGCTGCGAGTGCGCGGAGGGCTTCCGGTTTTCAGAGGAGGGAGCGTGTGTGGGTGAGTGCTGTCGGTGACTTTCCAAGTGATCATTCACGTGCTGCAGGTCGGCGGCTGGGTGGGGGGTGTGGCCCCCGGGGGTCCTCCGAGCTGAGGTGGAAGCTTCCCGGTTCTGTCGCTGGGGGGGGCAGTTCACAAAGCTGAATCAGACTGGAGGGTCCCACGTACAGGGAACAAGCAATGTGACTGTCTGCACGTGTCACGCCCCGCCCTCGCCTGTTGCCAACTTTGGCCTTACTGCTGCCCCTCATCTTACACAACTTTTACTTCTCGTGATTCTTTTAACAGCTATTAAAACACTTAGACTTGTTTCTCCTGGAATGTAGTGGCCAAGGGCCACCCCTTGGGTGGAGGGGATGCCTTCTAGGGGCTTGTGGCCTTACTGCCAGAGCATCCGGGCTCATCAAAGTGCCTAAGTTAAGGCCACGAATTAGGCTAATGACGCGTTAGGCTGGTGATGATTGTTGAAATCATCCCACTTTTTCCGCCTGCTGCCCTTTGACCTGTGGTGTCCAAGAATTTGAAGATCAGAGACTTGTGGAGATTTCCAGTCTGGAGGGCAGCTCGCTGAAGGGGCCATCTGAACTCAACATCTCTTCCCAATTTAAAACAGATTCCTCTCTTGCTGCCTCAGTGCACAGTCCCCCGGCCCCTCCTTGCTGTTTATCAGCCCTAAGCATGCTTTCTGTCCGCTCTGTCTTGGAACTCAGATGAGGCCGCCGGGTCCCAGGGTGAGGTGGTGTCCTCGGGGCGGGAGGGAACAGGCCGTTCTCATATTTTGAGTCCGACCCAAACATCTGTGAAGTTAGAGACGCCAGTCCCCTTTGCACAGAGCTGTGATTTCAGCTCTGCTAAAGTTCCTTATTTTTTATTTTTTTGATTTTTTTGAACTGAGACCAATAATTGTGAATCCGCCCTGACTTCCTTCTCAGCTTTTGGAGATGAAGGAGATTCGAAGGTCTATTTTTCATGGCAGCACCATTTACATTTTGGCTCAAACTGGGGTGGTGGGCCCTCTCCCTGGTGGGTGGGGAAGTGGACAGTCCTGGGACAGACGTGTGTGGGGCCTGGTCTTCTGTGTTTCTGCCTCCAGCCATTCCTGGTGTCCACGCTCACTGGAGGGGTCGGATGGCTGGTGCAAGTCAGGTGGGGTGCAGATGTCCACTCCCGGGCGTCTGGTTTTGAGGGAGACGCTTCACCCCTCCGGGCCTCGGTTCCTCACCTGTAAAATGAGGTGATCAGACTGTAGCACGGGCTCAGTGCGTCCCGTCGAGACCTCGGAGCTGACTCGGGGGCCGCCGGTGGGGGCACGGGGAAGCCGGGCGTGGACTCTGCCGTTCTTCTATGTGTCCCGCTCTGAGTACAGGTTTATTCTGTTTGAATAGTGGCTCCCATGGCTCAGAAACAAGTGTGAAAACCACAGACGCAGCAAACAAACTGTGGGGCAGGGGAGGGTGTGGCTCAGGGGTAGAGCATGTGTTTAGCCTGCATGAGGTCTGGGGTTCAATCCCCAGTACCTCCATTAAATAAATAAGCGAGTCCCCCCCAAACAAAACCCTAAAAATAAATAAATCAAAAAAATTTTTTAAAACCTGTGGTTACCAGGGAGTAAGTAAATAAAAGCCTAATTACCTTGCCCCTCAAGAAGTTTTTTTTGAATTCTAAAAAAAATAAAGAAGAAATGAAGGAATCAGAAAGTGAAACCCCAGCTTACCATGTACCTGTAACAGTGATGACTTTTTAATTCCCGTTTTAAGCCCGATGTTCCCTCCTTTCCAGAATTTACCCCTCCTCCCCCCGCACGCCCGAGTTAACGGCGGGGTGACAGTTGTGGGGAGACGAACGGCCACCCTGCGGGGTTAGGAGCCTTTGGGGGAAGAATGGCTGGGCGTGCCGGGGGCCCCTATTGTGTGAATTAGTGAAAAGTTCTCCTGCACGTGTCTGGGACAGCTTCTCGCTTGCCGTGATGGGCCAGGGACCATCTGGTTTTAAAATGACTCCCCTTTGAATGAACATAATCCATAAGACCGTCTAAAACCTCTGTGTGTCTTACCTAAAGGAAAACATGCTGTAAAAAGTTAAATTATAAACTGCCTTTTTTTAGCAAGGATTTGAGGATTATGGAAACATGTATGTGAAGGTGATGACTGGGCAGGGGACATCGGGACCCACCCATCCTGTTATAAGATCCTCTCCTGTTAACCATGGTGAGGGGGGAGGGCGGAGTGACGCTGGAGCAAACCCGACTTGTAAAATGATCGCTTACGTGCGAAGAATGACATCAGTGTTTGATGTCAGAGGAGTGAGACTCCTTTCCTGGCTGTTCTGTCTGAGTCTATTTTTCCTGTCTTTTTTGGGTCCCAATCCTCCGAGAACGTCCCTTTCACACTTTGCGAGCTGGAGGAGTGGGGTAGGGGGACCCCGGAGAAAAGGCCATTAGAAATGATGGGAGGGGAGGGAAGAGAGAGCACAGAGGGTGTCCGTAGATGGGTTCAGTGTAATCTGCGTTATTGTGTCTGGACAGAAATTTGGATCGCTTGTAGCAGCTTAAAATCCGGCAACACTCTGGCCCCCAAGGCTTGGCCCACGGGAGTGAGCCAGCATTCCCGGCTTCAGGCGTCCAGGTTGCTGAGGGCGCAGGCTGGGCCTCCGTCCACCAATCCGGTCCTTGGCTAACGTCTCCTGGGCACAGACCTTCGAAGAGCGTCCTCTTCTTTACGGCAGTGCTTGGAGCAGTGCTTGGAGCTCTCGCTCCCAAAGCACCTGAGGCAGGACAAGCTGGACTTAACCTTGGGAGGAGAAGGACGAGGAGTCCTCCCGTATCTGGGATAACCCAAATGCAGAGGGGCTCCCTGGAGGGAGGGAGGGGTTCTGTTCTGACGTTGCCAGGACCGGGGCCCTGTCCTGGGTCTTGGAGCTAAAAACCCAGAAGCTAGATGGTGTCTGACAAACTAAAGGACTTGGACCAGTCGTTGGAAATCGCCCCCTAGACCTCAGCCTTCGACGGGTGTGATTGTCTCACCTGTGTGTCACACACCTGCTCCTGAGCCCTCACTGTGTGAGTTCTGGCATCAGGGCCCTTTGAAAACTCACAGTACCGTCTTCTGGGCCTCCCTGTGCTTGGGATGCTGGGAGTGGTTCCTCCTTTTCGGGGGAAGATCGGGAGGCTCCAAGCAGTTATGTGATTGACCAAAGCCACGTGGTCGCCTCATCTGTACCTGGCAGAAGCCCAGAGCTGCCCACCCCAGGGGCCCCCGGCCATCCTACCGCCCTGTCTCCTCCCCTCCCTGAGAACGTGCGCTTCTACCCCCTTGGGGGAAGTGGGTGGCTTTGACTTTGGCATTCGTAGCGAGTGTTCCACCTGCCCGGTGGCCCGGGGTCAAGGACACCGTGCGGGAGTCTCAGATTCTCAGCCCCCAATGCTCCGTCACAGTTGCCGCGGGAGGCAGGTCCACCTCCATGTCCGGATGAAGGGGAGGTTCGGTGCCAGGGGCCCGGTGTGGAGAGTGGACAGAGCCCCGGGCTGAAGCGGAGGTTGAAGGCCAGGCTGAACGTCCCATTGCGGTGTCAGTCCGCGGAGACCAGTCAGAGGCGGGATCGGGTGGGAGGAGACAGGAGGGGAGCCAGCGGTCCCAGCCCCTGGGGAGCAGGGGTGAGCCTGGCAAGAAGCCTGGAGGTCTGGGGTCCAGGCAGGTCCACCTCAGTGAACTAAACTCAGTGGGTTAAAGTGGAGGGAGCTTGGAAGGGCCGTGGTACCGCTCAGGGCATTCTTTAAACATCGTGTGTCACCCTTTTGTCTGAAGCCATCGCGGACCAGCGCCCCATCAACTACTGCGCGTCTAACCTCCACGACTGCGACATCCCCCAGCGGGCCCAGTGCATCTACCTGGGGGGCTCCTCCTACACCTGCTCCTGCCTGCCCGGCTTCTCCGGGGACGGCCGAGCCTGCCAAGGTGCGTGGTGGCTCCGACTCTCTCCCTGTGTAACCTGGAAACCTCTCCTCGGTGGTACCTGTGAAATGCTCATCACTGATCATTCCCTCAGCTCTGTTGGGTCACTGGGCTACATTTTGTATCTCTAGTAGTTTGAACTCTACGTTTTCCTTTTGGGGGCTGTCCTCGCCGGGGAAGACACGGGTCCTCCCCGTGCCATGTTGTTCTGCGTGACTTGTTTATTCAGACTCTACATCAGACACCTGCTGCCTACCGGGGACTGGGGAGATGGCTTGTCTTTTCATGAAAGACAAACTGAAAGTCCAGCCTTTTATATAATAAGATATATACAGTCATTCACCTGGCCTGCTCTAACCCTGTGCTCTAGAAAAAAGTGAAGTCCCTGATTGGATAACTGACTCAGAGGCAGGGAGTGAATGACCCCACAGAATTCTCTCAGACCTGAGGTCTGTCCATCCTTGGCAGCCAATGGGCTCTTAAAGATAAATTTAAGTGAGATCACTTGGAACACAGTTCTCCGGTCCCTTGGTTTGCAAACTTACTCAACGTTATACCGTAGAGTATTTCTGGAAAGTCCAAGCTTTCCTAAGAGATTGTACTTTCTGAGACGTTTGCCTTTGTTACTGAACATGTGAACTTTCTCTTGTCTCTGAGATTTCTCCGTTGAGCTATTAGTGACCTGTCTCCAAGCTCGCAGACATTTTGAAGTTCTCGTATATGATGAGAAGGATCATTTTATGATGAAAAAAACCCTCTCAACTTTCCTTTTGCATGCTTGATTTTCATGAAAGCATTATCCTCAAAACAAAACATATATGTAAATACACTAGCTAGAAGCAGAGGAGTTAGTGTTTTGATAAGGAATGTTTTGTGAGTTCCAAATCACTGTTCCCAGATCAGAAACTGGGTCCCCCGAAGCTGAGCAAGTGGCTTAAATTATTGTGTAAACTATGAATCTCAGAAGAAATCTCACTGTCCCTGTTTTGCAGATGTGGACGAATGCCAGCCAAGCCGATGTCACCCAGATGCCTTCTGCTACAACACTCCAGGCTCCTTCACGTGCCAGTGCAAACCGGGTTATCAGGGAGATGGCTTCCGCTGCACTCCTGGAGGTAAGGTGTCAGGGACATTTGGAGTTGGTGGGTCGTTGTCATATCCATGAGGACTGAGCACATGGCCTGGGTTGAGGAAATGAGGTAGGAAAGTGGGAGGCTCTGTGGAGAGTTGAGGTGGGAGATGAGAGCCCAGCTGCAGTGTAGAGCAGTGTGGGTTGTACACTGCACAACTCCCGGGGGTACCACACATGCACCATAACTGTACTGGCAGCCTGGAGCCTGGTTATGCTTGTGACTTGAGCACGCAGTGCAGGATAAGAACTGATCTGCTTTGTGGTTCTCTAGGGAAACAGAACTAATGGACATGTGTGTGTGCACACATGTTGTGTGTGTATATATTGAGAGAGAAATGTATTAGAAGGAATTGATTTACACAATTATAGAGACTGGCAAGTCCCAAGATCCACAGTCAACCAGCTAGAAATCCAGGAATAGCCAGTGTTTCTGTTTGAGTCCAAAGGCAAGAGAAATCTCATGTTCCATTCACAGGTCATCAGGAAGGGAGATCTCTTTCTTACTTGTAAAGGGAAGGGTCAACCATTTGGTTCAAGTCTGGCCTTCAACTGATTGGATGAGGCCCACCCCCACCTAAGGGAGGGCAATCTGCTTTACTCAGTCTACAGAGTTAAAGGTTAATCTCATCTGAAACATCCTTACAGACACACCCAGAATACTGTTTGAGCAAATATCTAGGCATCCCGTGGCCCAGTCAAGTTGACAGATAAAATTAACCATCACAGATTCCTAAGAGTCACAGGGCATAGAGCTAGGGTAGGGATGGGGGAGGTGGGGGGCCACCAGCTGCAGGAAGACGCAGACTGACGACTCCTCAGAATTGCCTATATTACCTATTAGGCCTGGACTGTGCAGCTTGTAGAGTTGCCCACTGCCCTGAGACTCGAGTGGTGCCTCGTTAGATCATAAGGATAACAGTAGCCCTAGGTCAGTACCCGGACCAAGCCTGGAACTGAGGAGGCACTCCGCAGATGCTGTTAACGGAATACGTATAATTGGCTGCCATTCGTGTGCAGGTGCTCTACCTACGTATTTCACGTAGTGTTCATCATCACCTTTAAAGTACTGTTACCATTTCTGGTTACACAGAGGATGCTAAAGCTGAACGAGAGAAAGGCACAGTCGGGGTCGCACAGGTAGTAAGTGCGAGAACTTAGACCCAAGCCCAGGTTTGTCCGATGGGCCCCAACCTGGGTGCAGTCCTCTAAACCACACGGCATTCTGTCATGCGGTTAAGAGTGTATTTGACGCCTCCGACTGGCGTTAGCTAGCTGTGTTGTTACTTATTTTTAATTGCTGCTGCTGCTGCTGTGGGCCAGATATATTTATGCCACTATCCGTGTCTCAGTAAGACATAAGTGGGAATTCCCATTTCATCACTTTTTAAAGCAATAGATAACTATTTCAGTGTCTGCCTCCTTTACTAGCCTTGAGTGCCTTGAAGATAGGGTGTTCACGCATTTTATTTTCGTGCCCCCAGTATCCAGTGGAGTCTGTGGCCTGTGGTGGGGCTCCCAGCTCTTGACGGTTATCGAGGAAATGAACCAGTTTCCACTCCTACGGGCAGTGTTTAAAATTATTTATCTATTCCCACTCTGAGCAGGACTGGGCGTGACCAGTTTTTAGTATAATTGACCATCTAAAAAGGAGAAAAATAATCAGGTTAAGTTTAAATTTTGATAGACAATACTGCATATTGCTGGTCTGAGTTGTTTTCTTCTGCTTAAGAAGGGGGTCAGCCAACTATGACCTGCAGGTCACACCTGGCCCCCTGCCTGTTTTTGTAAATAAAGTTTTGCTGGAACACAGTCACGCTCTTTCGCTTCTGGATAGCTGTCCTTCTACAAAGGCAGAGGTCAGTATTTGTGACAGCGACCGTAAGGCCTGCAAAGCCTGAAATATTTACTAGCTGGCTCTTGACAGAAGTTTACTGGCCCCCAGCCTACATGAGCCCAGGCAGGGCCAACCTTTGGGTCCTGAAATTGTGGCTAAAAGCCTCAGCTCTGCCCAGGGATTCTGACAGGCAGCTTACGTAGACAAGAGTTCATGGCCATTTGAGTTAAGACCTTCCAGCAACTATTAAAAATGACTCACGGGCTTCCTCCACATCTCCAGTTCAAAAAGCAACAGATGTTTTTGTTTTTGTTTTTGCTTTTCCAACCTAACTCCTTGCCCCCTCTTCAAGGCTCTGTTGACTAAACAGAAACCAGTCCAGACCGGTAGGCTCGGATCTGAAGACGGGACAAAGATAAAACCAGTACGAGCTACTTGCTAGGATTTGCCTTTGAGGTATCTCACCCTGTTTTCTTAAGAAATTCAACATCTAGGTATATGCTCGGGAGCAAATGCACACTAGCAATATGCAAGAATATTCCCCGAGTGTTGTTTGTAGCAGAAAACGATCAAAGTGACTGCCAGCAGGAGGAATGGCTCGATGAGCTTGGGTACCATTCATAGGATGAAATAGTATACAGCAGTGACAATGAATACCTTTCAACAACACATTGGGGGGAAAAACCAGTTATAAATGGAGGCATGCAGTATGATCCCGTGTATAGAAAATGTAACTCTGTATGAACATACACCTACATACGTATAAACAGATGTAGGGAAGCTATAGAGCACACTCATGGGAATGAGAAACAGAAACTTCAGGATAAAGGTGACTTTGCTGGAGGGAGAGAGGGAATTGGACCGCGCAAGGGCTGTATTTGTATTTCTAATGTTTTTTCTCAGCTGGAATATGAACACAGGCTTTCATCATATTTTTCTAAATTTTGTACGACTAAATACTTGATGAAACGTTAATTTAAAAAATGTAGTGTCATCTGGTGTCCTACTTCCAAACACAGTGAAGTGCAGGGATTAGGGGGTCCGCATCTTGTGGTGTCTGCTCTATTCAGAGGGGACAAGTTTTGAAGGAAAAAAAAACTAGCTTGGAGGGTGAGTCATTTAGGGTCATGGCTGCTGCAGTGTCAGCCAGTGATGGGCAGAGCAGAAGCAGTGACGATTCGTCCCCCGCAGTCCTTTGTCCAAACGCATGTACGGGTTGTGAAACCGGCTCAGTGACTCGCTGTTACCATTTGCCTTTAAATGGAGTGGAGTCGAGTAGGAAACGGTAATCAAGAAAGCAGGGCAGCTAGAGTGTACGCAGGGAGAGTCAGTGTTGTTTCGTGAAATGCTGCTTGTTTATACGCTCGTCCACGTGCGTGGCTGAACATGTGTGTGTGTAAGTGTGTCCTGAGGTGCAGAGTGGGATGTATTTCTATGGGTCGTGGTCAGGACGTTTGAAAGTTGCCATGTTAGTTATCTATGGTTGGGTAACAAATGATCCCCGAGGTTAGCAGCTTAAAACAATAAATACATATTGCCTCACAGTGTGTGGGGGGCAGGGATTCAGTGGCTTAGCTGGGTGGTCTGGGTTCAGGGCCTCTCAAGAGGCTGTGGTCAAGACCTTAGCCAGGCTGTGGTCTTCTCTGAGGCTCCGCTGGGGCTGAAGGACCCAGCGTGGTGGTTGGCAGGCCTCCGCTTCTCACGGATGTCGGACGGAGGACCTCAGCTGCTCATCGCGTGGGTCCTTCCACCGGGCTGTCTGAGTGTCTTCAAGACCAGGCAGCTCCCTCCAGAGCAAGCGGGGACAGGGGGAGAACCCAAGATGGGAGCTACAGTCTTTTGTCACCTAACCTTGGAAATGACAATGCTGTCACATCTGCTCATGCTCTTAGTCACAGGCCAACCCTGCTACCGCGTGAAAGGGAACAACACAAGCGTGGGGTCCCAGGAGGCGGCAGACTGGCTACCACAGCCACGGACCTTGCCTGGCCACGTCTGGGGAAATGTAACTGGGGAGAGGTCTGGAATGTAGGAGAGCCTAGTAGAGGCTCAAAGAGGAGTGTGGAGAGTCCTGGGCTAGAGAGGTAAAGACTGGTCCTTCAGGACGAATACCAAGCCACAGGATGTCTGTTCACTCCTCTTTCTTTTTTGTTTTTCAGTGGAGGAACTGGGGATTGAACCCGGGACCTCATGCATGCTAAGCACGCACTCTAGCACTGAGCTTTTCGCTCCCCCACTTCTCTTCTCCCCACTTGGCACCAGGCGCACTTAACTGCATCCTGCCTCCAGGTCCCCACCACCCATCTTTAGAGAGAAGGTAATGAAAGAGTTCAGAAAGTAGGGCTGCAAGGAAAGGTGAAAACATCTAGTCTAACATGGCGTGAAAGAAGGGAAACTTGGACAGTTCAGTGTGCACTTTTTGTTTGCTGTGGGTCTGCTGTTCATGTGACAGTTTGTCTCAAACAAACCCGCTGTTAGAAGACTTGAATTTCCCAGTGAGAGCTGGAAAGAGCTCTAGAAATTTTGTAATTCATCTCCTTTATTTTGTAAATAAGGAACAGGAGGCCTGAATCATGTCTTAGTTTACAGAAAGGGTTTCTGGAACCCTCTATGTAAAAGAATTTCCTAAAGCAATTTTTCTCAAAATTGAGTAAGACCCTTCTTTGAAAGAAAAACATTTTTAAGACCTCCAGGGTTGGCTTCGATTATTTTTATGATGAATAAATCTAGGTATCAACTTCTTTTATAATCATGAAAGCAAAACACAGTTACAAATTAAATACCAACAAAGTTACAAATCATAAATTTCCAATGAACATCAACTGAATGTGCCAGATTATTGTTTGTCTGAGATGAAAGTGTTCATCCTGGGTGGTTATTCTTTCCGTCTCTACTGGAAAATTCCAGTCAGCCCGCAGACACGATATTTGTCATCTGAAAGACAAAAATGAGGACTTCCCTTGACCGGACACCCCCCTCCCGCTGCCGTCCCACTGCTCCGCGCTTTTATACTGTAATTCCTCAGCAAGGTTGCCTGGAGTTGCCTCCGCTTCCTCTCCTCCTGTTCTCTCCTGTTTTCTACCTTTTTATTGTAAAATAAAACATAGCTACAGAAAGTCAACTAGAACAGAGGTACAAACTCCCTTGCA